CCCCGAGCCCCAACCCCAGGACCACCGCACCGGTAGGTGGCGCTCAACGTCATGTAGAGCATCAGGAAGCAGAGCAGCTCGCGCCACAGCAGTTTGTAGATGCTCCCGCGCCACAGCAGCAGGAGCTTGGAGAAGCCGCCGAAGCGCGTGTTGGCCACGCGGGCTGTGTACGTGACAGTCATCGCCGCGCCAGGCCGGCCGAGCTGCAGGCGAGGGGACGGGGCCGGCTTCGGGCCGGGGGTACCTCGGAGCTCGGGGCTGCGGAGGAACCGGGCGGAGTGAGCCCGATGTCCTCCCCGCCCCAGGTTCCAGTGCCCTCCCTGCCAACCAACCTGCCCTCCCTCAGGACGACCCCTTCCCTGCACGGACTCCCGGTCGCTGACACCAGTTCCGATTTATTCCAGCCCCTCTTCCTGGAGGGCTCCATTCGAGTCCCTTCCCTCCCTCCGCTCCTCTGGCTCGCAGCAGCCCAGGTTCCCATCTCAGAGGTGTCCCTCTCTACCTGATGCGGGGCCCCTCCCCAGGATGCCAGCTGCAGCCTTCCCCAATGCGCCTAGTTCCCCTCTTCCTAGAGCCTCTGTTTTCAAAGCTCTGATCCCTTCGCCTCAGGACCCATGTGTGACCCTGTGGTTGGCCTCGCTCCCGTAAGTCCCCATTACTGGCCCGTGCTCTACCTCTGCACCCCGACCCTCTGTCCCCCAGTTTGGGTCCCAGGGCTACAGGCTGACCCTTTTGACCCCTCAGACACTCTCCAGCTGCTGGAGCTTTCTCCACCGTCCACTTAACTGGCTGGCGGAGCCACTCCTCGTCCTCCGAGATACTCCTTGACCCTCCCTCTCTTTGCTCCCCTCTCTGGCCTTCCATTCCCTCCTCCCAGGACTCCAAAGGGATTTCTGCCTGCAGGTCGGTCCGTCTGGGTTAGGTGCTCTTCTCACACCACCCCCAGGCCTGAGCCCGTCTCACCTGTGTTGAAGGTTGAGTTCAGTAGCACGCACAGACAGGGACAGGATGGGCAAGTGGCTTCTGTGCTGGGTAGGGCTGGAGTCAGACCCTGAGCTGGAAGGGGCTGGGGAGTGGGCGGGGAGCAGCCCCTCCTTAGCCCGTCCCCCTCAGCTGTAGCCTCAGAACGTTGTTTGGAAAAGTCAGTTTGTTACCTGGGGCTAGGGAAGAAGGCCTCCTTCTACATTGCCACCCTTCCACTCCCTCTCAGGACCTGAGGATCTCGGAGCTGGGAGAGGGTCAGGGTCCTGCTCCTTCCCAGTACAAATCTCTCCTCTTGGATCACTCACAGTTACCTGTCATCATACCCTGTCAGAAAGTCACAGACACACACACTGTTGTCCCAACCACAAAGTCAGCTTCCTCCCTCCACCCAGCCTCACACAACTTCAGTGACTTGGCAGGTGGTACACCCTGTCATGGACATCAGGGTCACACAGGACACACCCAACAAGAGCACCACCCCTTCTCCAATACACACAGGCAGATGGATGCTAACACCCCAGGATCTTCAGGCACACCGAGTCCCCAAATAGTCCACCACCAGAGAACACAGGCCGTGACAAAGGGAGGGGCCTCACATTCATTTTCATGTTCTGTCAAGATCATACCATGTCACACAAGGTCACACAGCCAGCCAAGGGCACTACATACCCAGAAATCACCACCATCACACACATTTCTTTCTGATTTCTGCAGCACAATGATATCAGATGTAGTAACATGGGGCCATACAGTCCCCAAGTCACAGTGGGTGCTGGCAGTACCCAAGATCACTGTCACAGAAGAAGAGGCTGGGGTCTTTCCCAGTAAGTCCCTTATCACTGACCTGTATTTGCATATCAATACCTAAGACATTCCTTCTCTCAGTGGAGGGAAGTCTGGAGTGTCCCTTTGTACCTTTAGTACGCAAAGCCTCAGCACTACTGTGAACACACAAACTTGGGGATAAAATGTCCCATGGTTATGGTTATGCGTTATGCACAAATATGGGGCATTTGGCCCTGGTCCACATATAGACCTACCGAGGAGGAACATCCAGGCTGGTGCAGACAGCACCCTCATGCCCATCTTCATCTGTTACTATGGATAGACTAGAGTGAAGGGTCAAGGGGTTCAGGGATCCAGTCCCAGAAGAGATGCCCTGGGCCGGTGCCCCTGTAACCCTCATACCCTCCCCATTGAAAGCTATGCAATGTGTCCTCACAGCTCCACCCGCAGGGGGGCAGGCCAGGACACTGAGTTCCCAGCCTAGCAGATGTCTGCCCCACCCCGGGGGTAATTAGGAACCAGCCTGGGCTGGCCACCTCGAACCCTTACCTCCGCCATCCAGCTGCTGGGTGGCCTGTAAAAAGGGGTGAGTGCTAGGTGGACCCCATAAAAGTGTGCCAAGTGGCCGATAAAAGTGGCTAGTGCTGGGAGCTTGTGCTGGGTGATGGACTGTTCCTGGGGTGGGGGCAAGTCTGGTAACAATGTGCTCCAGTGGGACCAACAGCCCCTATGATTTATTTTCATAATCACCGAGTATGATTACTCTACTCTGATTACATCCCTACCCCTACTGACAACTAGACCCCTGTGGGACTGGGGGCAAGCTGCCCTGACTAGTACACACACTTAACAGTGAACAGCCAGTCCTTGGTGGGTATATACTGCTCTTAGAGCAGTAGTACATCATCTCATCAAATCCTAACAAGCAGATTTATGAAAAGTGGCGTTCAGGGAAGGAAAGGTCAGGCTGGGGACATCCACAGCTTGTCAGTCATACAGCTGGGTTCTCAAGCCTGGCAGTGTAGTCTGGAATTTGGGGTCCCTGCCACCAGGGTGCACCATCATGCATTTATGTGCCAGTCCAACACGCCACACCTGCTTAAAGACTCCCAGAAATAGGGGGACACGTCTAGGCTCGTGGCTGGGCTCCCCTTGCACACACACCCTGGCACACCCAACACCTCATGGCTCATGTGTGTCCTCAGACATTGTCTTTCCCCTACAACTAATTTCAACTTGGATCCTGCAATTTCCCAAGGTCATGGGTCTACAGGTATGGCTTAAACACAGGTGCCTTCCTGGGTAGACCGACTTGGTGGACTTGATGACTCCACGCTATGGCTCTCCTAATGTCCCCATTTTAGGAACGAGGGGCGGAAGCTCAGATGCAGCACATGGAATTCCAGGGACCTCAGCCAGAGTCCTCTGCCAACCTGCTCCTAGTCATTCCCTGCACAGGCCCGTGTGGGAGGCTAGTGCTCCTCTGTGGAGCAGGAATTGAGGGGGTGGTACGTGGGTGGAGACTGTTAATCCCCAGTCTGGCAAAACCCAGCCTCTGCCCAGGGTGCCCATTAATTCCCAAACCAAACAACAGGCCATGCTGGGCCTCCACTGGCCTAATCCGCTCTTACCAGCCTGGGGCCATCAGAGGGGGCACTTGGTTCCCACGATTCGTGCCTCTTCAGATTTAGGCAGATGCCCCTTCCTCTGCCTAAGAGCCCACAGCCCTAGCAGGGACACCTTTCTGTCCTCTTACTTGATGCCCTCTTCTCCAGAAGGTCACAGCACAGCATATATGCATTCTAGGTCTCTGATGAGAACGCAGCTGTGTGGAGGTGTCACCCCCCCGCCCCGCCCCAACACAGCAACATCCACAGCAGTTCAAGAACCTTTATTAAGGGGCAAGAGGTGGGGAGAGGTGAGGGAGCAGTTGTAGCCCCCAGCCCCACCAGGGGGAACAGGCCCCCCCTCCCTACCCCCTGTCCCTCCCCCCAGTGCCCCCCACTGCACCATGGGGGGAACTTTGTGCAAACACTGCCCTGGGGTAGGGCTGTAGGGTGGGCATGAAATGTCAGCAGCTGGGGCAGGCAGCGGTGCTACTGGGTGCTGGGGGGCTTGTACGGTTCTAGGAGGAGGGCGGAGAAAGTGTTGACCTTGTCTGCCCCCCGCACTTCATGGGGCAACAGTGGCAGTTTCACGATGTGGAAATCTTCATAGAGGTCTTCCATCTGTGGCCAGAGTAGAAAGCAGCCGTCAGGGGTCAGGGTCTGGGTAGTGGAGTAGGTGGCATCCCAGAGTGAGGGGGGGAATATGGGCAGGGATTCCGGGGTCAGAGGTGATGGAGGGTCAGATATGACTGTACTGAATCTCCCACCCACCAGGACATGCCTTTTACAGCCACTAAGGGTCAAAATAAGGACAAAGGGTCCAAACTGGGGTGAGGGTGAAGGGTGTAAAGTTGGGACAAAGGGTCAGTGTGTGAAACAAAAGCTCAGAGAAGACGGTAGAGGGTCAGAAGCATGAGGGCCAAATACAGTGCTGGGTGGGCAGGCGCACCTGGTCCAGGTACTTGGCCTGGATCTTGTGGCGAGCCTCACACATCTTGCAGGGCTTCTCAGGGTCCGGAAAGACAAGCTGGTTGACGATGATATTGTGTGTGTCTATCTTGCACTTGGCCAGCTCCTGAATCAGCCGCTCCGTCTCGTACAGGGACAGAAACTCTGCGATGCACACGCAGATGAAGGTGGTCTGCTCCTGCAAACACAAGACAGGCTGATGAGGGGTGGGGTCTGTGCCCCAGCCCTCACTGCCCACCTGGCCTCTGACTTACGGGATCCTTGAACTGCTCGCTGACGGATCGGATGACGGGCAGTGTCTCCTCCAGCTTGGAGGCGAGCTGGTCTGCGTTCATGTCACCCAGGCCCAGCATGTTGCACATCTGTGGAGGACATGGGAAGACTCATGGCTTATCTGGGAGCCCATTACACATTAAAGAGAATAGGGGTCCACACCCATATTTACTGTGGCTTTGTTCACAATAGCAAAGAGCTGGAAACAACCCAAGTGCCCATCAACAAACAAATGGATAGAGAAGCCCTGCTGTATTCACACAATGGAACACTATGCAGCATTTAAAAACAAGGAACTCATGAAATACTATGTTAAGTGGATGACCCTGCAGGACATTATGCTGAGTGAAATATCTCAGTCACAAAAGGACAAATATTGCATAGGGCCACTGTTGTAAAACGAGATTGACATTGGGGTTGAGGGAAGACTGAGAAGGAGGGGAGGAATGATGACTGCATTGCAACAGATGAGGGAGAGAACTGTTTAAAAGGGATATGTTGTTGTTTGTTATTATGTGACGTCGAGTCACTTGCGGCTCATAGCAACCCTATGTACAACAGCC